ATTCCTCCTCTTGAGTGCACGACTGTCTGCATTCCCTTCATGGTATGTGACTCGTGCTTAAGTGACCAGTCAGGTATTTCCAGGTCATAATGTCTTGGAGCAACTGAACGGTGGAAATGTGAATGATTCAGGAGCTCAGGGTCGCATGTAGCGCAGAAGACTCCATCTGTCAAAATCACAGTTGAGCACATTTGTACACTGTAACTTTCTTAGTACATTGAGTTGTTTTTTAATATCTTTAAAAATAAATAATTAAAAAAATAAATAAAAATAAAAAGACCATCAACTTAAGAATTTTGATTGAAAGAAATATCCATTGTGAACAAAAAAACTTTTTAGATGGAGGAAAATAAATCATTGTTGCCAGAAGAATTACCCTTAATATGGCTAAAAGGTAAATTAAATCCTAGAACATTGGTAAAGAAACAAATATAGAGGTAATGCAATATAACTTCAGGTGATCTAGTAGTTCAGTAAAGAAAGACGAAATTTTAAACTTCATATAAAAGCAAAAAAGTTTAAGTTTAAATAGAGGCTATATATCTGACCTCTGTTTTCACTTCAATATGGCAACTAGAGATTATACTTAAAATTTAATCAAGAATCATGAGTTCTCAGTTTTTCAGAGATCCACGTATAAGATAGGATTATCACCGAGAACAACATATACACAAGAGCTAAATCATTGATAGGTACAAAAGGTTATGACTGAGTGCACTCTACAGGAAAAAAATTTATTTTTCATTCATGTCACAAAGGGGCTGGAGTGATAGCACAATGGGTAGGGCATTTGTCTTGCAAGCAGCCAACATGGCTCACTTGAGTTTGATTCCTCCGCCCCCTCGGAGAGCCCTGCAAGCTACCGAGAGTATCTCACCTGCACAGCAACGCCTGGCAAGCTCCCTGTGATGTATTTGATATGCCAAACACAGTAACAATTGTCACAATGGAGATGTTACTGGGCCCACTCGAACAAATCGATGAATGGGAGGACAGTGACAGTGACATGTCACAAAGTAGACTCAGAAATAGTTTTCTCACTCTATAAAAATACTGCTCATATATTAACTCCTGAAAGTTAATGGTATGTATGAACACTTAAAATAGCAACAAAATTGGAGATGCAATAAGGTGCTTGCCTTGCATACAGTCAACCCCAATTCGATCCTTTGAGCATCTCAGTCCAGTGTGCAAAGGTGATTCCTTCTATACATTCCCAGAGAAAGAATCTAGCCAGGACTGATCTCTGCGCACAGAGCCAGGAGCAAGTCCTGAGCACTGCTGAATGGCCCCCCTCCAAAAAAAAACAAAATAATAAATTATGCTTTAAAAATAAAACAACTCATACAAAATATGTAGCACTGTCCTCCCATTGTTCATCAATTTGCTCAAGCGGGCACCAGTAACGTCTCACAACAAATTCTGAGACTTCTTGTTATTGTTAAATAAAAATCAAAGGTATCTCCAAGGCACCGCCACCTCCTTCTGCTGCTCGTGGTGCTGCTTGAGTGCTTGGATCCTTCAATGTGGAGTTTTTTGTGAAGTGACTGCTAAGGAGACCCCAGCAAGTGCCATGGCCAAAGGAACCCCAAGGAAGGAGTCAACACCGAGAAAAACGATCATATTAGTCTGAAGGTGGCAGGTCAAATGGTTCCATATGCAGCTTAGGATGAAGAGGCAGGCACCACTTAGTAAACTAATGAGAGCCTATTATGAACGAGAGGGTTTGCTAATTAGGCAGATCATTAGGCAAAAGATTCCCATTTTATAGGCAACCAACCAACACACAGGTGGAAATAGAGGATGAAGATACACAGCAGACAGGAGTTGTCTACTGAAACAGGAATCTCCTACTTTACCCCAGAACTCATTTTCTCCAGACTAAGAAGACATACACAATTAGAAAACTAGTTTGGTTCCTAACTATTAGAGTGTAGTTTTCTGTATTTTTTCATTCCCCCTTCCCTGTTCCTGAATTGTATGTACAGCAACTGGTCTTTGTGTACAAATAAATAAAACAAAAAACAGAAACAATTTCACACTAAAGTGAACTTATGTAATTGAGCTGACATACTTATAACTCAAAGTTGTAATCACTGTACTTTGTTAGTAGAGTACACTCAGATAACTGTCGCTAACGGAAACACTGTATCTTGCCATTCATTTAAGTTTTTTTTTTTTTTTGCTTTTTGGATCACACCTGGCGATGCACAGGGGTTACTCCTGGCTCTGCACTCAGGAGTTACCCCTGGTGGTGCTCAGGGGACCATATGGGGTGCTGGGAATCGAACCCGGGTTGACCGCATGCAAGACAAACACCCTACCCACTGTGCTATCTCTCCAGCCCCTCATTTAAATTTTACTACAATTTCTTCATTCAAGTTATTAGTTTTTTCCTTACAGATAAAACAAATTATACTATAGAAGTGTTCCAATTAAAGAACTGTAACCTTAGGGCTAAGAGAGAGTGGAAACAGAGAGAGAGACTGTGAAGTGCATACACTTTCAGCTATAAGACTAGTAAGGTCAGAGGGCTGGAAAGATAGTGTATGAGGCCAACCAGTGCTTCACCCCAGCATTCCAGATGGTCCCCTGAGTCTGCCAGGAGTGATCCCCTGAGCACAGAGCCAGGAGTAAGCCCTGTGCACTGCTGGGTGTGATGCAAAAATTAAGATGTATATGCCTCTCTATATATATTATTGGATAGTATCTTCCCATGCTAAATATGATTTTCCTTGGGCTACAGGACACAGATAGGTAAGAGCTTACATATGGAGGGCTTGTAACAACCCCTCTTGGAAGCAAGCTGCCAAGTTATAAAGACTGAAAGATGAGAAGTCATGTAGAAAAAAATCCTGGAGGATGAAAGTCCATGTTAGACATTCTCACCCTCCCTAGCGTAAGGGCAGTTGTATGAGTGACACAACAGCCACTATAATAAGGCACAACCATTGAGCTGAGTCCAGAAAAAAATTCATAGAGTTACTAGAAATAAAACTGAGTGCTGTATTTTATAATAGAGTTGCTTAATTTAATTACATCATTAAGTAAGGATAAAAACTAAGCTCTGGAGGTAAGCTAAATAATAAAAAAAAATAAATCCTATGAGTAGTATTAAAACTTGACTGGTGGCAGGGGTTAAAGTACCTGCCCTGGAGGCAGCTGCCCTCAGTTTGATCCCCAGCACTGCAAGATCCTGAGCACCCCTGAGTGTTGGGAGTGACTCTCAAGGACTTCGAAATGTGGCCATAAATCCTCCAAATATTTTAATTGAGAACAACTCAATTTCTAATTGAAACTCCAAAATCTATTTTTTCTAGTTCTGTTCAGTGAAATAAAAAAGCTATAACCCCTGTACATAGGCTGATGTGCACGGCACGTACTTTTGTTTATAACACCATGTTCTATATCTCCGTGGAGGAGGCTGTTCCACTCAAAACAGGAAGACACAAAGTAGGTGTCAAGAACCTGGTCAATCTCAAAAGTAAGAAGTCTTTTCAACAATGGCATCCTAAGAAAGATGGGATCGAGAGAAAGCTGAAAGCAATTCCAAAGAGCAGAAAGACAGTCATATGTTGTGCGTGCGGACGGACGCAGATGGACAGCTCTTGACTACTCCCTACAGTAGTGAAGGGTGTCCGATCCTCGGGGCCCTCCCAACTGCAGCAGCCTGAAACTCTGAAATAGCATAAAATGAACCTGCAGCACCAGAATGGGCAGGGTGCTTCTTACCTTCCTGTGTACCTGAGGTAAAAGGAAAGGATTTTCCTCTGAATCTGCTTGTGAATGGATTTGGATAAGGGCGGCGGCTACTCACTCCCTTGCATAACGATCAGATGCCGCAGACTCACGCAAGTCCCTTCTCCCAACACCAATTCAATAAAGGCGCGGAAAGCGAGCACACGCTTCAGGGCCTTTCTCACACTCGCTGCTTTGGCAAACTCGCAACTACGTTCTGCAGCGGACGCAGCGGCGGTGGCACCGGGGACACCCACTCCGCGAGAGCGCGCCTGGGACCCCAGTGGCATTCGGTCAGTGTCCAGCGGCTCTGAACTCGGCCTTGCTCGTTTCCGCCACCCACGGCAAGAGTAGAGCAGTCCGCCCTCTGAACGCTGCACCCCGCCACGCCCGTGGGTGCGCCCTGCGCCCGGACCCACACCCTGCCACGCCCCACGGGGGTCCGTGGGTGAGCCCTGCGCCGGGACCCGCACCCCGTCACGCCCCGTGGGTGCGCACTGCGCCGGGACCCGCACCCCGCCACGCCTCATGGGTGCGCCTTGCACCGGGACCTGCACCGGGACCTGCGCCGGAACCCGCACCCCGCCACGCCTCGTGGGTGCGCCTTGCACCGGGACCTGCACCCCACCACGTTCCGCGGGTGTGCCCTGCGCCGGGACCCACATCCCGCCACTCCCCTTGGGTGCGCCCTGCGCCGGGACCCGCACCCCGCCACTCCCCGTGGATGCGCCTTGCACCGGGACCCGCACCACGCCACGCCCTGTGAGTGAGCAGTGCACCGGGATCCGCACCCCACCACGCCCCGTGGGTGCACCCTGCACTGGCACCCGCACCCCGCCCCGCCCCGTGGGTGTGCGGTGCACGGGGGCGCCCGCACCCCGCCACGGCCTGTGAGTACGCGATTCACCGGGACCCGCACCCCGCCACCCCCCGTGGGTGCGCCCTGCGCCGCGGCAGACACGCTTTCTCCGGGGACCCCGGGTCGAGGGAGAGGCGCGGGGGGTTGAGTGTAAAATCAAACGAAATAAAACCCTTGCTCGGAACCACGAGGCGCGCGTGCAGCACGAGGTCACCGTCTGACCGAAGGCGGCACCCGCGGGCATCTCTGCTCCCTCCCCGGGGACCCCGGCCCCGGCCCCCGAGTCACCAGATGGGCCCGGGGCGCACAGAGCCGCGAGGCGTCGGGGCGCACCGGAGCGCGGGGCCGCGCCAGCACCTCGGACAGGGCCCAGCGGGCCGCCCCCGGGGCGTCGGGCACTCACGCCGAGGGGCCGGCACTGGCGAAGGCAACAGCAGCAGCGCGGCCAGCACGACCACGGACTTCATAGGCATCGTCCGCAGCACTCCGCCATGCGACGGGAACAGCCTGGGGCCACAGGCCGGACACCTCAGGGCCGACAGGAGGACGTCGGCAGGCGACGGCCCGACCTCAGGGCCCCGGGCGCCCCGCAACGGTTGTGCCGGTGCGCAGGCGCAGCCGGAGGGGTGGAGGGCGCGCGAGGGTCCAGGGCCCTCCCCTTCCGGGCCGTGTGCAAGGGCCCCGCCCTTTCTGGACCGCGTGTAGGGTCTCCCCCAGCCTAGTTCTAGGCCGTCCCTCCAAGGCTGCGTGCATAGCCTGTCCAGGTGAGCACAGCAGCTCCCTGGCTCGGGCCTTGGAACTTCTTGACGCCTGGTGGCTGTGAGGACTGGCAGGTGTCGTGATTGGGCCAGTGCAGGGAAACCATAGCCGCCTGAAACACTGTTCTGTGCTGATGCATGAAAGAGACAAAAGGCCTGGCCATTCTAACAGCATCATGAGGTGGGGGAGGGGGTGTCTTGCCAGGCACCAAGGAGCACGGTGCAGGGCCTCGTCACACAATACACCAGTGGGGGAGAGGGCCTAGGTGAAGTAAGCTTGGAACTCCAAGTATTTGATGAAAGTACTACAGCAAAGTCATTGTTGGAATTGAAGGGGAGAGGAATTTGTTCAGGCATCAAGCTACTTGAAGGGACTGGATTTATCTTATTTTAAGTGAAGATTTAAAATGATGGGTCTCATTCTCCTAAAGAGCCTTGAATATAGCACTTTCTTAAAAATCTCAGGGCTAGGATGAAGGAGGCGTTACTAGGGCCTGCTCAAGGCAATCAACAATAACGGGATGGTCGTGATTCGTGAAGTGAAGATTTATTTATTTAGTTAGTTTTGGGGGCCTCACTGGGGCTGTACTCAGGGCTTAGTCCTCCCTCTGCACCCAGAAATGACTCCACATGTGATGTTGGAAAATTAAATTAAATTAATTAAAGGGTCAGGGCATGCAGGGCCAGCCACCTACTCACTGTAGTCTCACTTCGGTCTCTGGAACTGAAGTTCTTTCTCAGTCTCAAAAGATTATAGTCCACCTTTCTTTTTTCTTTGAAGACTAAGGAGGATCAGAGAGAGAGAGAGAGAGAGAGACAGCGAGAGACAGCGAGAGACAGCAAGAGACAGAAAGAGACAGAGAGAGTACAAAACTAAGTTACTTGTCTAGCATATGGCTGAGCCAGAAGTCCGCAGAGTCTGGCCAGGAATGATCCCTGACTACAGAGCCACAAGTAAACCCTGAACACAGCCAACTGTGGTCCATAAACAAAAATACCAGTTATGGAGAATAAATGTATTGTCAGTTTAGGGATATGGTGGCATGACCAAAGAGATAACCTGAGGGAGACTTTTTGGGAGACAGTTGTGGTGTCCTCATTTTCTACATGTGATAAAATTTGTAAAACTGTATCCCACAAAGAACAATTTTTACTGCATGGTGTTTTGGGTTGGTTTATTTAATTCACAAACACCCATTCCTCTATGTTTAAAAGGATAAGGTTCAGATTTCACTCTGGAGTAATGGGAATACTGTAGGGTTTGGGGCTAGGAATGGTCGGATCAGATATGCATTATTCAAAGCAAGCTCTTTTTGCAGCATCAAGAAGGAGTAGAATAGATGCAAAATAAGAGTTTAGAAATTAGGAGACTGCTCTGCAACCCAGACTGGAATAATTGAAATGTTAACCCACGGTGGCAGGGGACAGGGGGCATTGGAGAAATATCTGGAGTTAAATCTAGAAGATAAGGGGCTGAGTAATAGCACAGCAGGTAAGGTGTTTGCCTTGCAGGCAACAAACCCAGGTTCGATTCCCAGCATCCCCGAGCACCGCCAGGAATAATTTCTGAGTGCAGAGCCAGGAGTAACCCCTGAACATTGCCAGGTGTGACCCAAAAAGCAAAAAAAAAATCTAGAAGATAAGAGATTGAATGAGAGGATATGATGCTCTTGTTTCTTGCTTGGGCACTTTGGCTTGTGAGATGAGGAACATCAGCACGGAGAGAGTGGAAGGAACGATAAATTCCATTTCGACACCAGTCTCTTGAGATGAGCGTGAGATCTCCTTCCTGGAGGGGGCTGTGTCATGGGCAATTGGACCTCACAGGGACCTGGAGAGAGCTGAGGCAGTGGAGGCACCAGCACAAAAAGTAAGATTGTCAACCTTTAAAAGATGCCTGTCAAGGTAGCACACTGAGGATAGGGGTATGTGGGAGCAAACCTGGGGCCCTGTGGAAGGAAGAAGACACTGGTGGTGAGATTGGTGCTGCAATATGGTGTGTAATGAAAGTCTTAACATAATACTATGAAATATAATACCAATGGGGGCTATGTCCTAGTATAACCATATTGGATAAGCTAGAATATAGTTTTCAACACTGTCACTGTCCTCCCACTGTTCATCGATTTGCCCAAGTGGGCCCAGTAACATCTACATTTTGAGACTTGTTGTTACTGTGTTTGGCATATTGAATACGTCATGGGGAGCTTGCCAGGCTTTTCAGTGCTGGCGAGATACTCTCGGTAGCTTGCCGGGCTCTCCGAGAGGGGCGGAGGAATCGAACCCGGTTCCGCTGGGCTGGCTGTGCACAAGGCAAACACCCTACTGCTGTGTTATCACTCCAGCCCATTGAGTTGAACATATGAATAAGAGAATGTCAAGTTGTGTGCATTTAGTTGGAGAATATTAGATAAATAATAAAGTGACCTCATGAAATGTATCTAATTAGGGAACTATTACATTGTCATGGGTTGTATTTGTTTCTGACACAAATTAGATCCCCAAATCCACATGCTCTCTCTACCACACCCCCTCCCAGCATCACTGGGTGTAGCCCTGGAAACTCCTAAGAACTTATGGGTGTGAGCTAGAGACCCCCAAGTGGCTGTGAATAGTATTGGTGGTCCCCAGAATCACAGGGCATAGAAATGCCGCATCCTCAGACACAGTCACTGAATGATGTACTGCCAGGGGTGACCTCTGAGCCCCCTTCGTACCACTTGGGAAGTCAAAAATTAAAAAGAAAATAAAACAGGCTGGAGAGATAGCACCGTGGACAGGGCACTTGCCTTGAATGCAGCAAACCCAGGTTCAATTCCAGGCACCCATGTGATTCCCCAAGCCCTGTCAGGAATCATCCCTCAGTGCAGAGCCCAAAGTAATCCCTGAGCACCTTTGAGCGTGGCCCCTCCAAAGGAAAAGAAAGAAATCTCTGGTCAGTTTATTGCACTTGTCTCAGATTAGAACAATTAGATTCTGAGAAGTAGAGAGAAGAACTGGAAGGGAACAGCCAAGTGAAAACAGAGCTTCCTTCTACAGCAGGAAAGAAGATTGGGCAAAGGGATATTCTGAAAGATGGGTTTACTTTTCTGTTGCGTGTTTAAGTGTGTGAGTGTGTCTGTGAATGTCTGTGAGGGTATGTGAGTATGTGACTGTGTGTGTGAGTGCATATGAATGTGTGTGTGAGTGCATATGTAGCAATTCCAATAATCAAACTCAGGGACTTACACATGCAAACTTCTTAGAAATTAGCGCTTCTGCACTAACCCCATCCTTAACCCCCAATTTTTACTTTTAACTCTAAATATTGTTCTTGTCCCTTGTGTTTTTCTAAACAAGTTTAAATTATTTTGTACTATGTACTGCCTATGTAATTAAAAATAAAATCAACATTTCTGCAATGTCTAGAAGCTTGGAGTAGTGGCAGGAATAGAAATTAACTTTATCTTACACCTCTGCTTTCTCCTACAACTTTACCAAAATATTTTTAGAACAAATTGTATTGACTTACTGCTGTGTTTGCAGTACTAGAAAATTCAGGGAATACAACCACAGACCTCTATAAATGTCTGAACCACACCCACCGCCAAAATCCTATTGCTGTCAGACCATCAAAATGCCCCCTGTGTCCAGGAGACAGGTGGGTGTGATGAACCATGATCACCCACCAATGAGCACAGTACTGCCCACAGCCTAAAAACCGCCTTTGTTATGTGCCTATAAATCATTTTTATTTGTATTCCACACGTGAGTGAAACCATGTTGCAATTGTCTTTCACCTCAACTTATTTCACTAAGCACCATTGTCTTGAGTTCTGTCTGATAGCTGAGTGTTCTTCTGTTGACTCTTATAGCCAGTCACTGTTTATGGGCATTTATGTTGATTCCACAGTTGGCTGTTGTAGATAATGCTGCTGTGGTCACAGAGGTGCAAATGGGTTCTAGCTTCTTAATCTAGGGTCATGAACATGGGGATTGTGAAGAGTATTAAAATTTTGTTTTAATACTTTCTTTGTGATTTATTATCAGTAAATGTTTGCACTGTATACCTATTTCATGTATCTGGGGTTCCAAAAAGATTTCTGGGGTCAAAAGGGATGGAAAAAGTTTAAGAAACCCTACTCTAGGTATTATGGATATTTTAACAACATCACTGTAGCACTGTCCTCCCATTGTTCATTGATTTGCTAGAGCAGGCCCAGTAACAGCTCCATTGTGAGACTTGTTGTTACTGTGTTTGGCATATCAAATACATCGGGGGTAGTTTGCCAGGCTTTGCCGTGAGGGCGAGATACTCTCGGAAGCTTGCTGGGCTCTCCGAGAGGGGTGGAGGAATTGAACACCAGTTGGCCAGGCTGGCCACGAGTGCAAGGCAAGCCCCCTACCACTGTGCTATCACTCCACCCTTTTAACAACATTAATTCTTCCAATCCATAAACATAGATTACCTTTCTATTTCTTGGTGGTGGGGGTGGGGGGGTGGCTAGGGGAACCATACCCAGCAGTCCTCAGGATTTACTCCTGGCAATGGTCAAGGGACCTTATGCAATGGCAGGGATTGAACCTTGAACCAGAATCTGCTGCATTCAAGGCAATATGTTTACCCCTTGACTAACTATCCACCCGTCTTTATATTACTTTGAGTCATTTATTTCTTTTAACAATTTTTTACAGTCTTCTGTGTATAGATTTTTTATTTCCCATTAAGTATACTTTCAGGTATTTTATACTTTTTGATACATTTGTAAATGGACTATTTTTTCATTTTTCTTTTCTCTGAAGCACTCGTTTTCAGCCTTTTTACCCTTCTGGTCCAACACTGGTTCACA